AACCTATAATATATATTTATCAGTCAGCAAAATTTGATTAGCATTTCTTCCCTACGAGTGTCTGAAGAGGTTAGTGATGTGATATCAGGTTCTTATTGGTAGAATATTGCTTTGGACCATGTTTTTCCAATTACAACAAATATATATTTCAAAATTTGGATTTGCTCATTATTTTAGATCTTAAGACTGTGGGCGGTACAGTGAGGTTCCCAGATCCTAAAAATTGGGGCTATATGCTTCCTCCTGCTACCTCAACACCCTTAAACAGCTCCTTCACCCGCATCCCTCACCCCACTCCAACCTCCCCAACGCCCCGCAACCTTCCAGTTCAGCATCCCAGCCACTGGAGCAGTGAATTGAGGTGAGTGAGTCAGGGAGACCCTACCATTGACACCTTTGTCTTCTTCCTTAAAGAATGGGGTTGATGTGGCTACAGACATCTCCTCCCCCTTCCTTCTTTCCCTTAAAGTCTCTTACTTTGGGAAAAAAAAAAAAGACAGTGTTTGTGTGTTGGCAGGGGTAGGGGGTCCATACCATGGTAATTAAATAAAAATTAAAGGCACTTATAAGGAAATATGAATAAAATATAGTATAGTAAATGATGTCCATATAATATGTATTACTAATAAAAACAATTTTATGTAGTGCTTTTCATATGCAATTAGAGATTATATACTATAAAATACCTTTTGTTCTGTGTGGCTATTTTAGAAATGCTCATTTTACTCTAGTTTTAAAAATATTCTAAAATTTACTTGTCTGCTGCATTTGACACTGTACAAATAGAAACTGCAGCCTAGGAGAAACTAGGATTCTCTGTGCTTTTGTTAAATTAAAAACATTCATAATTATTTCTCAGAAGAGCTGGTCATTAATTAAGGTTTCTGAAGTGCTTAGGGAGTTTCCTAAGGAAATACACCAAGTCTCACGAGCCCAGTTAGATGGAAACCTAGATTTGAAGAAATTAGTAGCAATGCCAATTAAAGGTGAATCTAGGTAATTTCAAATATTTAGTCAATTGTGACCATTGCAGAAAGTAAAAGAAAGAGAATCAGATTAGCCAATTAGATGTCAAAAAACTGTCCTTGGCCAGGTGGTGGCGAGTGGTACGGCTGAGTGAGACAGAACTCCGCAGCTGTTGCTGGGGACCGTTAATAGGACGACTGAAAACGTCACCACCACCAATAAAGTGAAGTCGCGTTCATTAAAAAAAAATTGTTTGGGTAAGGAGCTTAATTAGAGTTTTCTTTTCATATTTTTACTGAGTAGCTCTAGATGTTTTGTTTTGATCAGGTAACTTGGTCAGAAAGTCCCCAAAATGAGTATTTAGCACTTCTGGAAACAGGCCTGGACAATAGGCTTTTGAAAGAAAGGCCTTTTCTTTATTTGCACCTAGTTATAAAGTAATACTTTCCATAGAAAAACTGTAAAATACAGAAAATTATTCTTCGTTTGTTTTTTATAAGTCACTCTCAAATACACCACTGAGAGATGGCTACAGTTAACGTTTCTTCTCTTCAGAGCACGCTCCATGAGGGTATGGACTACCTCGATTTTAGTTCATCACCGTATCCCTACTACTGAGCACAGTGCCTGGCACAGTCAGCACCTAATTAACATTTACTGAATGAGTGAATATATTAATATTTTCTACTAGTCTTTTTATGTGTACATTTGTTTGTTTCCTGACAAAATGGGATCCCTATTGTACATGATTATATTCTAGCTTTTTCACTTTTTATTACCCCCTGAGGCTTTTCTCATATCAAATACCCTAATCTAAAATATAATGATTTTTCATAAGGTATAATGTTCCATCCAATATACTTTATTTAATCATTTTCCTATGCAAATAATATACTCTTGTACAACATAGGTTTGAACTGCACGGGTCCACTTATATACAGATTTATTTTCAATAAATACTGTATTTTCTCTTTTGCTTTCCTTTTTTTATTATGATTTTAATAACATATCTGTAACTTAGCTTAGTGTAAGAATACAATCTATATATAATACATAAAACATACAGGATATGTTTAATCAACTGTTCATGTTGTCACTAAGGCTTCCAGTCAACAATAGGCTATTAGTAACTAAGTTTCAGGGAGCCAAAAGTTATACAAGAATTTTTGACTGCACAAAGTCAGTGCCCCTTTCCTCTGCATTGTTCAAGGGTCAACTGTAGTATATACTACTTTGTGTCTTGTTTTTATGTTCACATAATGTTTTTGAGATTTATCCATATTGTTGCATGTATCAGTAATTATTTCTCTTTTATTAGCTGAGCAGTATTCCATTGTTTGGATAATGATTGTTGTTGGGTAAAGTACCTAAGAGTAGAATTACTGGGTCATAGAGTAGGGACATATCTAGCTTTATGAGAAACTTCCAGCCCTGGACAGGTAGCTGGGTTGGTTAGAACGTTGTCCTGACACACCAAGGTTTGAGGGTTTGATCTGTGGTCGGGGCACACACAGGAAGCGACCAATGAGTACATGAGCAAGTGGAGCAACAAATTGATGTTTCTCTCTCTTTCCCCTTTCCTCTTTCTAAAATCAATAAATTAAAAAAGACTTTCAAATGTTTTTCCACCGTGGTTGTAGCATTTTACTCTCTCATAAGCCATGTAGGAGAGTTCCAGTTGCTGCCATCCTTGCCAGCCCTTGGTATTGAGAGTCTTTAGTTTTAGCTCTTCCACTAGGCTCATGCAGTGATAACTCAGTATGGTTTATTTTGCATTTTTTCCTGATGATTAATGATGTTGAGAATCTTTTCACTGGAGATATTTGTCTTCTTTGATAGTGCCCAATCTCTTTCCAGATAAATTATGCTAATTTATAATTCTACCAACAGTGCTGTTTTCCAATTTGCTATGTGAAAAATAGCATCTTGTTTTAATTTACATTTTGTATTACTTATAAAGCTGAACATTTAAAAATGTTCAGTGTCTTATTTTTATTCTTTTAGGAATTCTTTGTTCATGGCCTTGTCCATACCTATATTTTAGAGCCCTTCCATTAAATAGTGAAAGTCTTTACCCTGGTATATGAGATGTAAGTATTTTCCCTGTTTTGTGCCTTTTAATTGTGTTTATCTTTTCCAAGTAGTTAAACATAACATTCTTTTGTAATTCTTTTTATTACTTTGAGCTTAGCAAGTCCTTATTGTAATTCATTAGGTTCATTTTGATTTGATAAATGAACACATGGTGGGAGGGGGTGTCAGCATCTATTGGCATCTATTAGCTCTTCTATTATTTTGTTCATGTAACTTGTAAACCAGGTTCACCTTATTTTGATGTTAAGCAGTGACTCCACCTTGAAATACAAATAGTTAATTTTTCCACTACTGTTATTGAATAATCCATCTTCTCACATGGGTTTGCAATGTTTTAAAAAAACTTTTTGTTTTAAGCTATCCTGTTGTTCTTTCAGATGAATTTTAGCAACTATGCAGCAGGAACCAATTTATTTTTTATCTTTAGAGATTTGCTGGTTGGTAGAGGTATGGCGCTCCAATGCTCTGATTACTTCTTAAACGGAGAACTTCCTCAGGATATCTAAACAGTTCTCTTGGGTCGAAGCCTGAAGTCAAGCCCCAAGAAAACAGAAGTTCTATTCAGCTCCTAACGTGGCCCTGCCTTGCTGGGGTTGCGACGAAGAGCCTTGGGTCAAATTTCCAAGGCATAATTCAGGGTCTGGTTCCAGTATATATCCCCCCAGTACATAAATGCACTTTAATGCAGATTCAGGCTTAACCCCCATAATGTTTTAGCAAGGAGCTGTCCAACAGAATTTTCAGCTATGACGGAAACGTCCTATTTTACCACGTCTGCTGGCCACACGTAATTTTGGAGCACGTGAAAATACTTAGGGTACTGAATATTTAAATTTAAATTTTTACTTAATCTAGATGTTCATGCCCACCTATGACTTCTTACTGGCCACCACAGGAACTGTTAAGGCTACTTTGCCTATAATTTTCCATATACTTCCCTGGATCTTTGTTTTAGTATTTCATTATTAATGCTAAAATCAAAGCACATTCGACTTCGCCAAGCACTACAGTCGGTGAGGGAGGACAGTCGAAGCGAGACAGTTTCTGTTCTAGGCTTACAGTTTAAGAAAAAGTCAGTCCTGAACCTAGAGATGAGCCCGACTGAGACTGGGGAGACTTGCCCGTCACGTTCCCCAGTGGACGCGAGCGGGGGACGCGGACACGGCGCCAAGAGCGAACCAGGGGAAGAGGGAGTCCCTTGTAGCCGAGGGGACACCTGGGGCTTGAGAGCGGGTCCGTTCCTTTCCCAGGGGAGGTGCTGGCCGGGGGCTCCCTGGAGACCGCAGGCCACGGCGAGGGCCCTCCGCACCGCACGGGGAAAGGGAGCCTCCGCTCACCCACACTGCCCGGGAACCGGGGTGAACGCGGCGGTCGTCCCTGCTCGACCGACTGCCCTCAGCAGTGACAGGTTAAGCCAGAGGTTAAGGGGGTTGGTCCGGGTGGGGGGCTGGATGAATTGTGGAAAGGAGCGGGGCCGCAGCGATAACGACTCCTAGCGGGCAGAAGACCCAGGGGAGGGGGGGGGAGGCCTTCCGTGGGGAAGGGGTGGGAGAACACGGGATCTCGGTGACGCGGCTCCACGGTGGCGGGAGGCTCGTGACTCCGTTCCCCCCAGCCGGGCCACAAGATGGCCGCTGCTCGGCCGGGCCTTGCCGTGCAGGACCTCGGGCTGCGGTTAGATGCCACAGGCCCGGGCAGCGGCCCGCAGCCGAGAGGGACTCTGCTGTCTGCAGCACGGCCGAAGGGGAAGGGAAACCCGCTCTCGGAAGCAGAAGAGGAAGGAAGCGCGCGTGCGCGGGGCGCGGCCGCGCAAGCCTAGGGGAGGGTACAGCGGGGGGTCGCGACAGCCGGGAGCTTGAGGTCAGCGGCAGCGCCGGCCCGAGCCACCGCGGGGCCGCGCGCTGGGCCTCGGGGCGGCGGCGGCGGCGGCGGCGGCGGCGCGCGGGCCGCCAGGAAGTTGGGAGAGCGCGGTGCGGGAGCGCGCGCGCGCGCGCGGGGCCGCGAGCAGCCGCGGCCGCCCGGGTTGCTTCCCTAAGCCTCTTCGCCTGCGCTCGCGACTGGGCTCCTCAGGAAGGAGCGGCCGGTGGGCCGGTGTCCTGTGCGCGGGGTTCGAGACCGGGTCGCCGAGCCTGGGCCGGGGCGCGGCGGGCTGACTGGCCCCCGGAGCCGAGACCGCCGGGGACACAGGCGGAGGCGCACGCTGGCGGTCTCCAGGAGCTGGGAGGAGGCCGACGGGACCATGTCCGAGAGGAACCTCCGCCTCTCCACCACCGAGCGCGTCGTCAAAGGTGCGGAGCGGGCTGGGCCTTCCTCGTCGCCCGCGGGGAAAGGGCCCCCGGCCGGGCGGCGGTTCGGGCCCGGAGGGAGGGGGCGCAGGAGGGCGGTGGCGGACCCGGGCTGCGTCCGTCCGGGAGGAGGTGCCGGCCGGGCTGTGGGAGCGGGAGGGCGGGATCCCCCCGGGGCAGCCCCGGCGGGGCCTCGGGTGTGTTCTGCGGCGCCTAGACGCGCGGCTAGCTCGGCTGCCGGTGGTGGGGAGGAGGTATTTCTCCTCCGTCACCCCAAAAGGGCCTCATCCGTTTTTTACAAAGAAACCATTCCCCGTTTTAGCCTCGCACCTGGCGAAGCCGGTGGGGTGACGTGGGGAGGGAGGCTCACAGAGTCTTCTGAGTCCGAGCCTTCTGCCGCTCCCCTGCATTAGGGTCCGATCGCGCGCTCCCGCCCCTCTTTCAGGACGTAAACCATGTACCTTCTGGCCCACTTTCTCCAGATCGTCACAAGTCACTGCTGTTACTAAAAGAAGTAAGGTGGTGAAATGAATACCAGTAAACCCACTGCTTGGTGTTTGAAAGGGACTGGCAGGTCTCCTGACGCGACCCAGGCGTTTAATTTTGCTTTCGGCCGCAGACACGCGAGGAACGGTGCTCTCTGGTTCGGACGCGCGCCGCCAGCGGCAGGCGCCTCGCGGACGCTCGCAGGGCTGCGCGCTGTGGTCCTTCGGCGCTCAGACTAGGAACGCCGGCCTCAGCGCCCCGCGGGTTCGCGCGCGGCCTCCATTCGGCCGCGGGGCTCGGGCGCAGCTCCCTTCGCGGAGGGTTGCCGGCCCGGGGGCCGCGCTCTTTGTAAGCGGGCCCTGCCCGGCGGCGGGGGGTGGCCTCCGGACGGAGGGGTAGCTGCGGGTGGGAAAGCTGCGAAAGGGTTTTTGCTTTTCATGTTGTTCAGTAGGAGGAGAAAGCAAATGAAGATGGGAGACAATGCAGCATTTTTTTTAAAAGGGAAAGAGCGTATGGATGGTCAATGAAGGGGGAGAATTTCAGTGTTGAACTGGGTACTTTTCCCTCTAAACACATTAAGCAGCATAAATGTTGATTGTCTACACGATGTCATTTTAGCGTGTAACTTCGTTTCCCCCCTAGAAAGTCAGCATCATGTGTTGATCCTAAGTGTTGATTTCCTACACTGTAATATTTAGTAAGCATCATGGGATTTTCGAGATCACCTGCTCAACATTTGTCTGCTATCATTAGGGATTGAAGTGAATGGGTCATATAACTGACGGCCCTTTAGCTGCCAAATTATCTTGGCCATTTTGATGTCAGTTTTTAAATAATGTATAACTTATAAGGAGTAAATAAATGTCTTAACATCAGAACATGCTAAACATAACCCTATTTGATAAACCAAGGTCGTCGCTGCACACATTAACCTCCGCCCCGCGCGGCCGCGCGGCCTGGGGCCTGAGGCTGCTGGCAGTTTCCTCCCGCACCGAAGGGCCTGACTCCTCCCGCCGCGCCGCTCAGCCTGTCGGTCTGTCAGTTTATCTCCTCCAGTTCTGTTTTCTGTCAAAATTCTGCCCTTCCGATGTGCCACTGCTGAACTGAAGTAGGCGGGGAACCAGGTAGATCAGACTTGGGTATCATATCAAGTCAGAATAAACGGGACGTGAGTGAACCTAGTGGCAGACCTCAGACCTTCGTGAATCTCAACTTCCGATGGACATCCTAGCGCATAATTTCCACCCTAACGTGTCACAAGGCATGAAGGAGATTTTAAAAGGAACCGTTCAGGCTCTTAAATATAGGAGTAAAGTAAAAGGAAATGCTGTTAAAATGCAGCTGCTGACTCGTTTCTAGGCACGCTCACAGTTAGGTGAACGCCCTCACAGTCTGTATGATTCAAATTTGTTTTTTGGTGAAGATAAATGACATGTATACTTTATAAGATTACTTTTACTTTTTATTTTTAGAAATGTGATTCCTACCTTTCACTCTGCTTGTGCTTAAAGATTTTATTTATTTACTTTTAGAGCGAGGGGAAGAGAGGAAGAAAGGGAGGGAAACATCAGCGTACAAGAGATAGGACATCTGTTGCCTCTCGCGGGCCCCCAGCTGGGGACCTGGCCTGTCACCCAGGTGTGTGCCCTGCCTGGGAATCGAACCAGGGACCTTTCCATTTGCAGGCCAGCACTTAATCCACTGAGCTACACCAGCCACGGCTGTAAAATTACTTTTAAATAAATGAAACATAAATGATTTCAGGCCCTTAGAATGTGTGGATTTAACTTGTATATAAAAGCTTTAGCATAAGAACTTGACCACAGCAATTTTGGCTTCTTGGTGACTGATGTTGCCTTTTTTTTATGGGTTTTCCGGAGCTTGAAATACTTGAAGTTTTTTCTAAGAAAGTAAGTCTGTTCATGCATAGATCTATTGTATTATTACACAGGGTACTGAATCCTGACCTAGTGTTACCTTGTCTGGCCAGAATTGTCTGCGATTATTCACAGCTGGAAGTCTTTTTCTGTGGTGAGACCACACCCCAGTTGTTTTGGTTCTGTCATTTCCTGTTAACTTTAAGGTCCACTTCATTGTTTTGTTTGAGCAAACCTTAGAAAAGAGTGGGTAGGTGGGAGTGATTTGTATTGTGTCCTTTAAACAGCGACTTTCCTAAAACAAAGGACTAGGCTGGTGGTCAGAAAACCTTGGTTTTGCTGCTGCTCTGGAGCTTACTTGTGACCTTGTCTTTTTTTTTTTTTACCTTGATTTTTACTTAAATTTTCTTTTGCTTCAATAATCTCATCTGCAAAATAGGGTTAATAATACTTTGTCAGGCATCTGAGCTATGTAAATAACAACAGATGTAAAAAGCTTTAGCCAAGGTAGTACATTATGTAACAGAATCGTTTGATAATGGCTCACCTATTATATAAGTGGTTAGTAGAGAAATTACTAATATTTGAAAAATACTAGAACATACATGAAATTATATCATAAATTGGAAAACTGTTCCCAGTCTGGGAAATAACCTCCTCTGCAATGTAAGGGATATCTGGCAGAATCCCGCTGCTAACAATGTGAACTGGCCCATACAATTCTGTCTGTTACTTCCCTGGCATCTGGTTTCTTCTCTAGCAGTTGAAGATGCATATTTCATGTTTAAAAGTATAACAATTCTTATGATTTCATTCATTAATGAAATGTTTATAGAGAACCATCTGTAGTGGATGCCAATAGGTGGGTGCTCATTTAGTTCTTCTGTGTTTTGAAAGTAACATTTCTGTGAGCTTCTAGAACCGTCCCTGTGCCCTGGGGCACCACTACTGGCATCTGGAGCAGGAAACTAGAAATTCAAATAGTTGAACTGTGAAAATCTTTCAGCTTGATCTTTTGTGTGTGTGTGGTTTCCAGATTTCTTTTCCTGTGTGAAGAAATTTATTTTCTTTGACAAGATTTTAAGAAATAAAAACAGTATTTCTCTGGGTTGAATCTTTTCAGAACATCCCGAAGTGTCACAGGGAATGACTACGCAACAGGTGTGGAGAACCCATCGTCTGAGTTTGTTATCTGGGGGTTGAATAAGGTTTAACAGAAAACTCAGACTTTTCAGTAAGATGCTGATATAGTTCTCTCATTTGCTTGGAATTAAATACAGTGAATTTTCACAGGATGTACTGTCATTTGCAGCATGTATAGGAGGCTACTAGTTTTTTAATATCTGGGCACTGGCAATAGTGGGGCTAAGGCTTTCTTAAGAGCTTTTAAGAAGGGTCGTGAGGACAAAAATTGCTATTACCACAAGTACACCTTGAACCTCATTTCAGGCTCTGGTATCTATCCCTCCTTTATTGCCCCAGCTCTTATCCCCTCTCCCTCTCTTCCATGTTATGAGAATGTATTTACCGAGTTTAAATTTTTTTCTTTTAAATATAAGCTTAACCCTGCAAATTATAAAATTGGAAAGGCAGAAAGGGAAGAAAACAAAGGTTTCATATTCATTTCCTCCAGAAATAACTGTTCTTAATACTTTGGTTGTATTTCCATGTGCTGGTGTATTTTGAATTGAAAGGGAAATGGATCATATATTAAAGTTTTTATTATGCAAATGTTTTCAGATTATTTTAACATCAATGTATTGTAATATTACCTAAATTCTTTTATAATAGTTTCAGTCAGTGTGAAAATGTTTTAAAAGTGCTTATGTTCGTATTATGTTCGTATCTTGGTTCTTTATATTTTCATTTATTTGTTACAATACCAATCCAGAAGAAACATTTTTCAGTATACATGTTCAGTGTGAACAAGTCACTTTGTAGGGCGTATCTGCTGAATTTATCAACAGTATTTGTTTAAGTTATGCCTAGTTTACTATTGTAATTAGCAAGCTGCCAAGCTATTTGAACACATGAGATCAATGCTCTTTGAGATTCATACCTCTGAGTGGAAGTTTTAAACCTTGGAAAGGACATCTTAAACAATTCTCTTTTGTGTGTGCAGGAATAAGGTGTTCTTTCCTGCTTGTATGTTAATGGATGTGATTGAAGCCTTATTTATATCCGATATTTGGTAATAAAGCTTTCTTCCATAAAGTAACATATTATTTATCACATTTTACTCTAAAGTTAAAAAATGGTATTAGATTATTTGAGAGAAAAATGCTAAGGACTCATTACTTAAAGTGAATTCAAGAATTAATTTAAAACCTCTTCATAAATTGTATTTGGTAATAGAAATAAAATCTTTCCATGAAAGTGACATTTTGGGTAAAAGCTAATTTTTAGACATGTCTATAAGAGACAAACTTTTTTAATTCTGGTATTTGTGGTCATTTTGGGGCTTTGCTGCTACTTAATAGCCAAAGGACTAATGGAAATAACGGAGTGTCTTTTGAATAATTATCCTTTGGTGCAGTCATTAATAGAGTATAACACTCCTTTAAAGTTTTCATGTTAAATTTTAGCTGCATTTTAAATTGCAAAAGTGAGGTCTAAAAATCTCAACCCGATGTAAGTGAT